GGGGAAAGAAAGGGGGAGGGTGGGATTAAATGGATGCATGATCTTGGCATAAGGGAATGCCTTCCCCCTAGAAAGGAGCGTGTAGTCTAGGTCTCTTTGTTAATAAGACTAGCCATTTACACCCTTTATTTTTACATTACCTACATAAAAATAAATGTAAATATAAATGATCGTTTCTAACATGCAGCCTGGGCTTGTTTTTCCCTCAGGCCACTTAAATTAGAAAAACACATAGTGTTTGTTTTTCTTTTGATCAAAAGAACTCTTCACCCCTTGTAGGACAGCTGAGGTTCTGTGGTTTCAATTTTGTAAACTATATGTGCAATAGTAATATCACGTTTGTAACTACAGAATTAATTTTATGCTCTCTTATAACCAGACTTTTTAGAGCTCCTAAGTGTTCCTGGGGGGTGGAATTCAACTGATGCTCCTTTCCTCAATAACTGGGATTAATATATACTCCTTTACTTTATAAATTTCCTTAATGATGGAAATCTTTCTTTAGTAAGTCTTGTGTAAGAGGCGTAATGTATGGTATTGTTGTTCTTAGTGTGTGTATTTTGATTATTGGGGCAAGAAGATAGTAACTTTCTTTGGAACACATAAGTCTTAGAAAATTTAAAAAAAAAAAAAGGTCCGTAAATTGTAAAAGTACAGTACATACTTACCATGTTAGCAGATTGGTTATCTGAGGAGATCTCAGCAAGATCTCATGCTTTCATCTGGGTTTTTTTAGTGTGGGTTTTTTTTTTTTCTCCCTGATGAGTCTTGAGGCGTCATTTCTTAGAGATGGAAGTAATGCTGGACAAAAAGCTGTGCTCTTATCATAGCTACACTTAGTTTACTTTTTTTTTGTAGCAAATGATGTAACGGGCACTCCATCATACTTCTAGGTTTGCATATATGGACATAGGCACTATCTCTAATTAACTAACTTTAATGCTGTTTTTTCTTGGAATTGTTTTAATGCCTTTTTTTGAGGGTTTACCAGGTATGTTAGAATGTGTGTTTATTTACAGTACTTTGAGTGCTGTTTTTTTAACCCTCTTAAATAGGTGGGAGAAGGGAGTCAATGACGGATGAAACTAGATAGCAGTCTAAGATACAAAGTCAGCCCTCTGGTACACACACAGAATACTAAAATGAGTAGAATAAATACCAATCCTTTGGCTTCACTTAGCCTGTGGTGAAAAATACTTGTAAGTAATGCTCTACAGCAATATATTGAGGAACAAAACATTTATGATTAAAGTTGTGATGGTAGTAAACATTTTTTTTTAACCTGAGTTCATGTATAAAATAAGAAATTTTTTAAAGAAAAAGTGAATCAACTCTTTGTCAGTGTCTCTTGGAAGAACTGGATTGTGGTTGGAAGCAACAATTAGAAGTTAGTTTAAACATGCTCTTTCTTATCCCTTCCCCCAACATCCCCTTTACAAGCAAGCCTTCAGATAGAGCTGTAAGGGAAAATAGCATTTTTAATTGTCACTAGATACTACTGCAATGAGATAAATTTTCTCACTGCAAAAAACAGTTTTAATAAAATAAAAATTCTAAATCTCCTTATCCAATTTACTGAGTTAATAAACCATCTCCTGCGCTCCAGATTTTCGTCTTCTCCTGCTGGTTTTCCTATAGTACTTCATGTTCTTGAGGTGAAACTGTTTCTGCTTGTACTTGCTGACCCACCTATAGAGGTAGCAGGATGCTACAAAGCTGGTATCCTCATGTTGTGGGCTATTTGCATTCTCTTGGAAAGCATAGTGGAGGATGGCATCACTGGAGATGCACTATACTGTTGTGTCATCCACACGTGAGATAACTGCGAGAGAAGTGTTATTCTACTGAGATTTGGACTTCCCAAAGGCTTTAGTATGAATTTTGCTTCCTTAATGCTGAAATACTTATTTCCTATTTACTCTCTTCTCAGGGGTAAGGGGGGCTGTCAAGAAGAATGTTTTATACCTTTTAAGGTCACTTATGGAATCCATTTCTGTGTATGTCCTTATAACTTTTCTCCCTCTAGTCTTCCTATATGAAAACAGGCTTTCTTAAATTATAAAATGGTGTGGCGAAGTATATATTTTTTTCCATTTATTCCATGCCATCTGTCCTCACATTCCCTGATTTCTTATTTATTTGTTTATTTACTTATTTATTTTTAAGATTTCCAGTCCTTTATTTTAGAAATTTAGTTCTTCCTCCTGTTAGTTTCTGTGTTTCTGTTCCTACTCTCAAAGCTTAGTCTTAAGCAGATGGTGATACTTTGTATGCTGGAAACCAATATACTTCTAAATTGCCATGCTGTCCCACAATGCCCTTATTAAGTCTTGTATGCTTCCAGATTTTCATTTTATTCTCAGTACTTGGAGTCATGTCAGCATCATCCATGTGTACCGAACTTCTAATGCTAAGCTGAAATTTAGAAAGTGTCAGTTTGCTGCTACGGTTTCTCTATTCTTGAAGCAGTGGAGGGTGCCTGTGGGTCATCTTCAGCTAGCCCTTTATTTCTAAGTGGTATCAGCAGAGGAGTGCAGCAGCCGAAGTACAGAAACCTCTTCCTAAGTGGCTTGAATGTGGGGTTTGGGCAGGGGGAGGCTTGTGGTATTTGAGATGTAGCTCATGGTCTTTCTCTTCCTTGTTGGCTTCCAACTCTGCTCTTCTAACATGCTTCAGTTAACATGTTGCCTGGTATTTCCAGCCGCTATCTGTAATAAGAATGCATCTTGCAGGTAAAGATCATGTTGCCCTTGAGATACAACACAGCCTTTTTGGGGGCAGTGCTGCTCAGTTGAATACTTGGGGCACGAAGGACCACAAGCAGTTCTCGTAAAGGTGGATCATGGTCCTGCATATAGAGATTGAGGGATCCCTGTACTGTAGCTGTGGACATCCTGTGTTGAGGACAGGATGCCTTCCTTCTACCTGTATGCATCCCATCCTTCCTTTGTCATCCTTGCATTCCTTTTGGCAGTGTGAAGATGCCACCTGAATGGAAACAGTTGTCTGATTCA